TAGTTAAAACAGACTAAATTAGAACAGAAGGCAAATGATTATGTGAAGAATGTCTTCAAGAAGAATAATTCCCAACAAACTATATAATTAAGAACCTGAACATTCTAAGAACCTGAACATTAATCTGATGATAAAAGCAAGTGCATTTTCTTTATTACATTAAAAAAGAAAAGCAACTGGAAAGAAAACAAAACAAAAACTCCATGAGCTGTACAGAAAAGGAATAAAAATAAAATGCAGCATAATTTTGAGCAAAAGAAAAGAATTATGGGGAAAATCCATTTTATCTGTATTTAGTGCCATTGGATTATGGAAAAGAAAATATACTATCATACTATTTGGATCTTCAATGAATAATATTTCTATAAATGTAGTATTTTAACTTACTTATTGCCTTCGATTTTTAAATCAACCTAAAAACAAGGCAGAAAAGGCTATAAAAGCAGTTTAAATTGACAGAGCCCTAAAAAGAGTAATTCTTAAAGGTTTTTCATTCAGTCAACAGTCAGTTTAATGAGGGTTTACATGCAATGCTTGGGAACAAGGAAGGACAGATGGACAGAAGGGCAATTCCTGCTGTCATAGACTTGCCATCTTGTACAACTCAAAGTCTCACACAAATGTCAGAACAATACTATGGTAGATTCCATCAAGCGAAAGTGTAAGAGGAAGGATGCTAACTTAGACAGGGAAACATCTGGGAAGGCTTCCTTCAAGAAGTAATGATGGAGCTGGCATCTGAAAAAAGAGTGAGTGTTAACAAGGGAAAACAGGCTGGCAAAACTAAAAGTAAGTAAGTGTGGGCAAACCCCAGAAAACATGGCTCAGCAGTACACTATGAGACTTGGGAAGTAGATGGGGGCCAGACCACAGGGGCCTTACTAGGAAGAAGAGTGACGGATTTAGGCCTTTGTTCAAAGAACACAAGAAATCACTGATATATTTCAAGCGTTGACTGATGTGCTCAGTTTTTTGGCTCTGCAAGCTCACTACAGCTGAAGTGTAGAAAATGGCTTATGAAGGGCATAGAACTAATCCGAGGAGCCCAGTTAGGAAGCTGTTGCAATAGCTCAGGTGAAAGTTCTGGTAACACAGACTAGGTAACTGCGGAGGAGTTAGTGAATTTGAAATAACTACTATAACTAAAAACAACGGACCATTATGGGCTGAATGTATTTATCTACTTCAAACCCTAACCCCCAGTGGGGCTGTATTTGAAGTAAGGAAGTAATTAAGATTAAGTGAGGTCATAAAAGAGAGACCCTGATCCCATGGTATCAGTGTCCTTATGAGAAGAAACAGCAGAGTTCCGTGTATGCACACTGAGGAAAGGCCACAAGAGGACACAGTGAAAAAGCAGCTCTCTGAAAGCCAGAGAGAGATCTCACCAGAAACACATCCTGTTGGACCTTGATCTGGGACTTCTAGCCTCCAGAACTGTGAGAAAATTAATTTCTGTTGTTTGAGCCACTCAGTCTGGTATTTTGTGTTACGGCAGCATGTGCAGACTAATGCACTAAAAAATTGGGAAGTAAAGTATGGAGGTGATGTGTTATCATGCTAAGTTCCTCAGCTGTAATAAGGGGGTATCAAAAAATAATGTTTATTTACATTGGCTAGTGTTATGATGGTAACTGCCGGAAAAATGAAAATAGAAATTAAAAGAGATTGGGGGAGGGCCTATGGTGAAAGCAGTACTTTCATTTTTTATCCTTATATAGTTCTTCTAAAACTATGTAATTTACTTTCATCAATCACTTAAAAAGTTTAACATATTTTCAAAGAAAAATGAGATCCTGCCTTCTTTCCTAAATTTCAGTCATTCACATCTACTTTTATGATTTCTGTTATATGCACCCTTGTCAATTTTCAATCAACTTTTTAAACCTATATCAATTTATTTTCAGCTTAATAGACTTAAGAGTTGTATTTTTTCTGTTACATATTAAAAATACATAATTATTAAAAAATGTTCATCCATGTACCATTTAAAATCTCATGTTCCAGGAGTGGTATAGGGGTCATTATTTGGGAAACACTACTAGATAATAAGACTGAATTATCTATCATGATGGCTTAAAACCATATTAAACATACATCAGAAAAATAATTTGTCTTCTTTTTTATAATTAGATACCTCCACAAGTTACAATACTGATACAATTTTAAAACACCTGAGTATTTAAAATTCCCATATTAGAATGATTAATATTCACTCGAGAATGTTTCATATAGCTAGAAGTTAAAATTTTTCAGACCTTTAATGTTGCTAAAACCAAATGCTTACTGTTTTTAAAAAGATCCAGAAACTGGATTTTATCTTTTAAAATTAGTTGAGTTATGTAAACCAATCTAAATGGCTTTGTTTTTAATCATGATTAAGCTGTCTGTACAATTCATTTATTTAACTAATAAACAATGTTTAAACTGTCGCTATATGCAAGGCATTCTGCCAATTACTAGCAATGCAAAGACAGATCTGAGATTTCTAAAAATTATGGTCACTTCTCTATAAGAATTTAAGGCATAAAGAAATGCTTCTCAATAATGATATACTTCCTTGAATTAAACTGGTTTCTCGGTGACTTAGAAATTAGTAAAAAAATTCAACTTTGACCAAAAGCTTTGCTAACCTTAAAGCAAGACTTATTTCTACATGGTCTTCGTTTAAAAAGCACAGTGAACTAAGCATATATCAATCATGTTCTAAGCATCCATATTTATAGAATAAATATGTTTTGGCCTATTTTTTCAGCAATCTACCCATGTAATAGAGTTCTTATACTTTAAATGTCTAAAGCAAAGTTTGTCTTGATAAAAGGGAGGAAAGATTGAACCACTCAGCACAGATGGAAATATTTTTCTTTGGCCTGTATAGCCCCTCCTTAAAAAGTTGCATCACTACTCCACTAATTTCTCACCTTTCTCTCTTGTAAATGTATTTTCTTCTTGCTCTGAAGAAGCATGCCTTCAGAGATGAAGGCATCTTCCTCCACTCAATATTTAACCTCCTATAGGAAGTAGAGGAAGGGTAAGAGAACTCTTCAGTTCATTCAGCCTTGCATGAAGGAAGAGCCCTGAGGAGAACCTAAGTTAGCCTTCTGGTACCCATGCAGATCCCACCAGGGTTGGACTTGGGTTGCCTGACAACTATGTACCAGGGTTCAGCATCAGATTCAACTAAACTGCCATAAAGCAAGTGGCCTCCCAAATGTTTGAATGATATATTAGCTACATCTGGGGAGCAGAGCCCTTATGCTGTAAAAGAACACTTTTATACTGACAATCACTTTTTCCAAATAGAGTAAATTACTGATTTATTTAATTAAATGGTTTGATTTTTTTAAAGAAAAATTATTGTAAATAATCAAGATCATAAAGAAGTTGAATATTTATTTGAATATCTCCTGGTAATAGCACTCAACACATAAGAAAAACAAACCAAGCTGTGAGATTTTATTTTAAATATAGCCATTTTTCAAAAACTGAAAAGTAGAGTTCTGTATTTAATGGCAACAAGTGAGAAATCTTCTATTTTAAAACTACCATTCAAATAATAGTATTTTAAGAAATATATAGTATGAGTAACATGATGTGTTTTATAGAATGGACACATATCTGAGTGAAAATCTGAACATGGAAGAAATATATGTTAAAACCACACTGGAAAACCAAATGTTCTTTTCTATAAAAAGCTTGAAATAAAAAGGAACTTGCCAGTAAACTCAATAAACTTTCATGTATGGGACTTTTTTTTAAATCCCCTCCCACCCCACTCCCACAAAAAAATTTTAGATCTGAGTAGAGCCATTACATGACAGCTCATTCAATGTGGAAGCTGGTTACATAGTCAATGTTAACTTCTTAAAGTGCATCTTTGGAAGACTTCGATAGTAAAACTGCAATATCAAATATAAAATACTTAACACAAGACATGCAATAACACAGCTAAATCATCATAAAGTTTTTAAAACTACCTTTAAAACTTTTGATTCACCAAAGAATAAAGATGTCAAATACAGTAGCATTCTCATTCTCCAGCAGTATGCACTATATGCTTTTGTTATTTGGCAAATCTTTTGGAGTCGAACAAAAATAATGCAGTCTCAACAGTATTTCTTCTGTCATTATAATACGATTCCTCGGGCAGAAAAGATAGGCGCAGAGCAAGAATTAGATTTTTGGAAGTTTTGGTGCGTTAACCACAGGGTTTGCCTCCTGTAAGTATCTCCTCCCTGCACTCTTGTAATCATAGGTACAGCTGTGAGCTTCTGCATAGCGGTGAGATGCACAGAAGTTGTTTCCACATCTAAAGCACAAAAAAAGTTTATGTGAATAATCACATTTCTACACGAGCCTCATCTCTTTGGGAGATCAAAGCTTGACTGCAGGTAGTCCAACAGGAGCCCTTTGGTTCTCACTAGCAATTTCAGGGCTGGTATTTCCCTTCTGCTCATAAACAAACACAAGCACCCTGAAAAAGAACAAGTTAACTGTCCATGACTGTAAGAGTTTATACTAAAGAATTTATTATGAAATGAAAAAGAGTGTAGACCTTTATGAACTAGTCAAAATGGAAAAGCTGATAAATATGTGTCTACCACTTCTCTTATATCTAGTAAACCTCGGAGAACTCTGAATTTCTGAGAAATTCAGTCTCATAAGAAAATTATGAAAAAATATGAAAAGAATGTATGTGTGCATTCATATATATATGATTGGGACATTATGCTGTACACCAGAAATTGACACATTGTAACTGACTACACTGCAATAAAAAAAATTTTAAATTAAAAAAAAATAAAGACACCATCAAAAAGAAATTACGTAAAACCTAACTATGCCATGAAAGGATTTTAAATTATTTCTAGCAACAAGATAAGCTGTTTCCATTTGAACAGAATACACTCTAAAAAGCAGCATCTTTGTTTAATGCCTGGCCTCTACCTAGGGGCAGATACCATCCTTGGAGTATATTAATCAATGATAATGAAAGAAGTATTTCTAGGTAGAACACATTCATTATTTTTGTAAACACATTATTCATTTGTTCTGAAATAAAAAAGTGTACCAAGCAATCATAATTTATAGTACATTAACTTTAAATTGAGTTCTTTTCTGTTCAAGCTAAAACAGAATCTCGGAGGAGCGTTCTTCCAAGCTACATTCAAAGAAAAACCGAGTATATCTATTATAAGACAAAGAAAGTCCACTCTTTCATTGATTTTTATCTTCTACTTTAAAGGGCAGCGGGGGATGTCATGAGTTTGAATACTCATAAGCTATCTATTTGCTCTTCACTTCAGCCAATTAGGAGGGCTGAGGGCTGCTATTAGACCATCATCTTAATGATCTTATGAACAGGCGATTTAAAGAACATTTGATATTGTATCCCCAAGCTGGGTCACCACAAAGAAAGCATCTCAGCTTTTCCAGCTAGCCAACCTGCCTGCATTCGTAGCTAGTAGCCAGTCCAGTTTTCTTTCCACAAAGAAAACAATGCTTTGTTGTTTTCTTCTTTGTTTGAATAGGGGCTTTCACAGGTGGGAGGTGATGAGTACATTCTCCTGTTTAGAGAAAGGACACCTTGATTAATACAGACATAAAATTCTAAATGTTAAATACTATTAAGCAAGACATAAAACACATTTCTGTCACAGCAAATCTCTATGCCAGAAAAAATTAATTTGTGCTTTTTATACCTAAAACTATTTACAGAGTCTGCAATGCAACAGAATAGAGAGCCCAGAAATGAACCCACAAACTTTTGGTCAACTCATCTTCAACAAAGGAGGCAAGAATATACAATGGAATAAAGACAGTCTCTTCAGCAAATGGTGTTGGGAAAACTGGACAGCAGCATGTAAAACAATGAAGCTACAACACTCCCTTACACCATACACAAAAATCAACTCAAAATGGATTAAAGACTTAAACATAAGACAAGATACAATAAACCTCCTAGAGGAAAATATAGGCAAAACATTATCTGATATACATCTCAAAAATTTTCTCCTAGAAGAAATAAAAGCAAGAATAAACAAATGGGACCTAATGAAACTTACAAGCTTCTGAACAGCAAAGGAAACCATAAGTAAAGCAAAAAGACAACCTGCGGAATGAGAAAAAATTTTTGCAAATGAAACCGACAAAGGCTTGATATCCAGAATATATAAGCAGCTCATACAACTCAATAAGAAGAAAATAAACAACCCAATCCAAAAATGGGCAGAAGACC